AAAATGCGAAATGAATCTTAGGTCCAAGTACAAGTTGCACGTTGCACCTCAAACTTGGCTCCAGTCTTCATTAAATCTGGCACACGGAATTGAGTAGTCTGTATATATGGATGTTTTGAATATCCACATGAATGTTTTCTTGAGAGATAGCAAGGTAAAAATCAACTTTAGCAAATATTTGTTTGCCTAACCCAGTAAATGCCTCAGATGGAAAGGTAATGACCTTTGAGTCAGAATAAGATGATGCTGTCTGGGATTTGATAATGGGCATTTATTACCTGTCTTACTATCAGCTTTTAGCCTCTTTCCCCAAAAGTGCTACAGGGATATGAAGCTGTTAATTCATCTGTGTCTCTGTTTATGGTACATGAATACCTAAACAGCAGAGCAGGGCAGATGTGACTGGGGTCTCATTCAGCAGGGCTTCCAGAAGGTCTCCCACATGGCACTCACCTATGCGTCTGGTATCATCTCAGGAATTAAAAATGGGCAGATGTAGCCAACGTTTCAATACTTTCATTTAGGCTTTACCCTGTGACACCCTCTGTCCTGCATGAATTGATTTTACATGTAATCAGCAAAACTGAGGATTTCCACCCTACACGTGCAGAAAGAGCTGAAGAGCGTGCCTTATTCTTACTTGAAATACAAACAGCAGAAGTGGGAGGGTATCAAATCCAATTAATAATTTATAAAATATCAAATCTAACCATATGCCAAACAAGAAAATCATCAAAGGATAACATGACTAAAGCCTAATGTATGCAACAGAGAACTGTGTAGTGTTGACATAGTTCAAAGATATTAGTATGCGACAATGAAACGTGGTGAGGCAGGTGTCTTCAAGACGTTTGGTGAGCCAGGTTCCAAGGCGTCTGATTAAAATGCATGTTTTAAACAATAAGGTATATAAATAAAACTGTAAATCTCAAAATCCTTGATTTTCAGTTTTAGTTTTTTAGGAAAATGTGTAATCATCTGTTCGTGTATTTTAGTTTTGCTTTCATCTTAGACCATGTGATGGCTTTTGTCAATAAGACATAAGCCAGTTTCCCCAAATGGCTTTATAGGATGCTCTGCATATGGACCGAGGCAATGCATGTCGGTGATCTCCATCCCTTCTAATTGTTTCCTATATAAGTGCATAATTACTTATTTTTGCACAGAGAGAATTAATCATCTCTTGAAAAACAGTTTTTTTTTTTTAAATGTGAAATCAGGCTAAATTACAATTGTGTCATTGGACATCACCTGTCCTGAGGGAATTTCAGTTTCCTAGTAATAGTAATTCTAATAAGATCTTTAAATACTCAGAACATTACCAAAACCAGTGAATAGATTTGAGACCATTCAAAGCCATCTAAAATTAAAAGTGTCAATCCAGAGAGATCTTAGACTGAATGAGTAATTTAGTCATGTTAATTCTTGAAGTTGAAGAGGGAATTCAGCACTTCTTTGGTGTGAATAAAATTTCAGATACTAAGTGCTGAGTACTTATTTATGTTTAGCCATGCAGAGACTTTCTACCAGATTATGTTTACTGCTGTAGAAAACATTATAAATGTAAATGGAAGTAGTTTTCCGGTAAACATTATGTTTCTTAATTAGTGCTTGTGTGATTCTCTACCCATTAATATCTGATGAAAAATTTTGCAGTCACGGTGCAAATCCAGAAAAATTTGCTCACATGGAAACTTAAGCATGTAGGTGCTTGTTATATTTGTCTCAACAGAAGGTAACATATTAATTAGGAAAAAGAAACTTACTGATATGTGTCACAGAAAATGCTGTTTTAAAGGCATAGTAATAAATAATGTTTTTAAAGACCTTCCTCAGATCTTTCCAACGATGCTGGCAATCTTTCCAGGACAGTGCATACTGAAAGGGCCAAACTAGTGAAAGAGAAGTAGAATTTAGCTGTTGCATTCACCACTCTGTCTCCCACAATGAAAAACTGTAAGTATCGTCGTTCACGGTAATCTCCAAAAGGAAGAGATAAGCTGTTGGTAGTGTGCTGAGTGGTTTATTCACAGTTTCTTTTGTATGCTACGGGTATAACTGGACCATTGTAATAGTTCGTAGTCTAGTTATGATTAATGTCTTCGCTTACATTGTGCTTTTCATCTGACTAATGCAGATGTAGTCAGAAAGGGACAGTTTGAACTTCATTGCAATCCAAGAAATTACCAAAAAACTATGGTAGAACTGAGTGCAAGGCTAGTTCCTAGAACCGTAGAATCATAGAATGATTTGGGTTGGAAGGAACCTTAAAGATCATTGAGTTCCACCCCCCTGCTATGGGCAGGGACACCCTCCACTAGCCCAGGTTGCTCAAAGCCTCATCCAGCCTGGCCTTGAACCCCTCCAGGGATGGGGCATCTACAGCTTCCCGGGGCAACCTGTTCCAGTACCTCACCACCCTCATAGTTGATTGGGTCTCAGTGGAAGAACCTCTTTCTGGAGTGATTTGGAAAGATTTGTCTTCAGATCCTTTCTTTTACTCTGTTTCAATCAGAAGTTTTGAGCATGATCCCCATAAAGAGAAAGAATGGAAGAAAAAGAAATTGTTCTATTTTGTATTCCAGTTAAAAACAAAACAAAACAGCTTTTTTTTTGCACAGACCCTTTTGGTGCTTTTGGAAATATTAGGAAAAGTTTCATGCATTTCAAATTTTATTATTCAGTGTTTCCTCACAAATTTAAGTTAGTATTATTTTTTTGATGTCATGTTTCTGAAAGACTTGCCACGCTATATTTGATCTAAAGGACATGATTCTGAAATGTGTTTGTCTAGGTAACTGGTGTTGACCTCAAGGAAATTATATGCTTACTTGTCAGGTGATATTATGAAAACATACATTTGTAGCTCTCGGATTTTGCAGAAAAATGTAGCTGGATTATTTCTCATATTGTTTTCTGTTACACAGACAAAATCTAAACCCCTATTTCTGTGCATTTTAGTTCAGAATCTAGAAAAGTTAGACTGCAGTTCAAAATAGTATGTGGAGTAAGTTACACTATCATCTTCTTGACGATTACGATATTAAATTATAGCTAAATGTTCATGTGACGGTTTTCAGCAGATAATTTGTTACCTAAGGAACTAGTCCGTTATTTTGTGAGCCTTTAGAAAATTGATTCAGTTTTAAATGAACACCTATGTCATTATCTGCTGCTGTAGGAGAATACGATTATGATGGAAGCACTCTTCTTCAGCTTCTTTGTTGGAATTCTTTTTGAATCGCCGTCCATTTGCTTTGGAGAATGCAGTTAAAGAGTTAAACTTAATTTTTATATGAAAAAAAATTAAAAACGTTCTAGTTCACTTCTGAGTGAAGATTACTAAATGTTATTGTCACACTAGCAGTGTAAATTACGTTACCTGTTGTTTTGAAATAAATCTAGATGTGTACATTCAGATAATTCTCTGTTTATGAATGCTGTCCAAGATATGGGTTCATTAAGAGGGACAGATATGATAATAAAAGGGATAGCCTTTTGTTGGATGTTAGTGGAAAGACTGGAAGTTTGGGCAAAGATATGACAATGTTGGTCAGTACCTTGATTTATATTTGCTATTTTACCTAAACTGAAGTGAGTACACTGAATGCAGATTTTGCAAGTCTCAGGTAGTGTATTTCAAGGATGGATTTTCAGACAGAGTTCTAATGGAGGGGTTAGTCTGGACAGACAGGAGAAGTCCATGACTGAACATGTGCTAACCATGGCTTCTGGCTCATAAGATACTGGTGAATGTAACCTGTGCATACCTAACTAATTGTACTTAAGTTGCAAATATGACATATACCAGTCTCAAAAATTCTGTTTTCTCACTTCTGGACATTTCAAAGACCCCTCAGACCGCAAAGGACCTGTCAAGGTAGACAATAGTGGTATAGAGTTTGAGGTTTGTCTGGTGTGCAACAACGTGCAGTGTTTTCTGTGGTTGATAAATGTGTACTGATAAATATCCTGTGGGCTATGCTTTGTTTAAATGTTCTGGGAACTGATGTGCCAACTCAGGGTCTGGTCATTTAGGAAAGGGTTCATTTTAGTAAAATCAAAATTAGGCAGCTGCTCTAAGTTGGTGGTTTATTTTATATTCATGGGTAGACATAGCATACTTCTTCCCGTTTCTCTTAGAGGATTGTTTTTTTGAGGAAGAATCCTAGAGCTGCCTGTATCTTTCTTTATTTCCTGGACAGAAAAATTATTAACATAAGGAGATAGCTCTCTCAGTACTGTTGGCATACAATGAGAGAGCAAATTGCAGAACATTATTTCTTTTCATATAACTTTTCACGTTTTTATTTGTGTTCGTTAAGCTGTCAAATGGTTTTGAAAGGCTCATTTTGTCTTTCGGTAAGGAAAAATTGCCTACATTTGCTGAAAATTACAGTAAAGCTTAGATTAAATGCTTGCAAAAGGTTATTAATCTTAGCCTTTTCTTTACAGAGACACAAATATTTCAATCTCATGTTATTTTCAGAAAATATTATCCTTCCATGTCACTTTTCTAATTTGCATTTTTAGGTAAAGCTCTCTTGAGTCAGTGAATAATTTTGGAGGTGTATAACTGGGCTTTAGATCAGCACAGCATTATTGTATATGACATTAATTAACTTATAAATGTTTTTAAAATTACATATTTTCTTGTCCAAAAAAAAAGTTATTTCATATTGTAAAGTACTTTGGTTGAAATTCTAGTTCCATTGAAGTCAATGATCAATTATAGTAAGTAACTGTTTCTTCAACACAATTTGTCCCTTTAAGATCCTTACCTATATATAGTTTTATTGCATTATATTATATGCTCATGTATATAGGAATATATAAGTATTTCAAAAACAGATTACACAAATACAAACATTTTTTTGTCCATACAAAATGTTGATACTTATGTAGTGCAAAGTCTGTTATATTGATTCATTATACTGTCGTATTTAAAATACTTGGAATAAAGTTTTTAATTTATTTTAAACTTTTTTTTTCCTTTTTAGCTTCCCCATGGGTAGATAAAAGTCGAACTCCAAACAAAATAGATCTGTATGATGTTCGTAGAAGACCGTGGTAAGCTTTCTTTAAGGGGTTGTTCTATATATGTCACTTACTTTCTAGATATGACTGTAAGGACAAGTATTTCTGTTTCTTGTGTATCTAATCGTCCTTACATTTAGATACTACTATTTTATTTTCAGAAAATCAGTTAATTATTATGAGTAAACAAATTTCAAATCACACTGTTTGTTATGCAGTATCCACTACAGTGCATCATACTGTTGCATTACATGGACCTTTTCATAGGACGATAACTATCAGATAAGTGTAAGGCTGTTAAAAACTTTGATTTTCTGCAAAATCAAATGTAATTCAGATTATTAGATTGAACCATTCTTCTAAGCTTTTACAGGTGTTTACAAATATGTCTCAGTGGTTTATACTACTGGTAAAAGAGAGAGAACAGTGGGATTGTTTCTCATATGTTTTTTTGGTAAGCCTTTCAAGGCATAGTGCATACTAATACTTGGCTTTGTGCTAGTTGAATATACTATTTTGAATGATAAAGTGTTTTTTACTGAACTGGGCTTATGTAGTAATTCATCTGTTATCAAGATCTAACTCTGAAACAGGATTCAAGTTTTTCAGTTATCAGCATCTGAAAATAGTGAATTTTTGTCAGTATGTCTGACTCTCCTAATGCAATTTGGATTTTGGTTTGCTTAGAAGACACAGCAAGAAAGAAAATGATGGCACATGATTTTCTGCTAGCTACAACAGGATGATTTTGTTGATTCAGCTTGATTGAGTTTAGAGATCGCAGTGTGACTTCCATCACATGCAATGAATGTGTTTTTTCAAATTTGTGTCATTCATACCCTTTATTTATTTCAGGTATATCCAAGGAGCTGCATCTCCCAAAGACATGCTTATTTTAGTTGATGCGTAAGTGTTTAATGTCTGGGTATTGACATTAGAGGGATAAAAGTACTTAGACATATTGAACAAATCTGTATCCTGAAAAAGGGAGAGCATTAAGAAGTCCTTATATGCAAGGACTGAAAATCTTGGTATGAACAAAATAAATACACAGCAAAAAATAGTTCCAAAAAGCTGAACCAAAATTTAAAGTTATTTAAACTGTGTGCAAGTGGTTTGTAATCACTTTAATGTGATTCTGCTTTCAACTTCTTCATTACTGAAGTAATCAACTGAAAATTTCTTATATGCATGCCAAGAGATGTTGTCAAACACAAACCCAAAAACAAATTACTAGAAGTGTGAAAGTAGATTTAATAATGATTTAATAAACTTGAAAGATGAGAGTTTATACAGACTTCATGTTTTACCATACATATTTTAAAATTGACTAGTTCAGTTACTAGAAAAATGTATTAAAAGTGAGAAAAAATTAATAAAAACTCCCTCTTTTCCTTGGCAAAGCTTCCTTTGTTTAGCTAACATTGAGGGACTGAAGGAAGCTTTGAGCCTGATGTGTCAAACACATCGCTTCATGCTGAAAAATTTCTCAGTAAGAGAATTAGCATTTATTGCTTTTATGTGTGCTGAAGTGCTTTCATATCAGCAGTGAGTTTTATCAACATTTGTTATTTCTGCACTTCAGCTTAGGTTTTGCCTTGAATAAAACAAGCTGTCATTTGGGTATCTTAAAATCTAAAGCTGTAAATCTATGTTTAGGAGTATAAAATGTTGAGATAATGCATTGGTTTGAGGTGGTAGACTCAGATTTCTTGAAATAAAAATGAGGAAATGATGCATCTTTATTACTTCATCTGAGGCACAAGAATGAGACGTTGAATGCCAGTTTTGGACTTCCAATTTTTATTCTAATAATGTAATAACACTAATAGTGAGTTGGAGAATTCAGGAGAATTATTGACAATTCAAGTGTGAAAGTTGGTGAGAGTGCTGGTTGGTGCTCTGTATTTTTTTTTGTACATTTTAAATAAAATTTGTTAAATAAAATTTTTCTATTGTCTCGTGGACTTCTGTTAGGAGCGGGAGCGTCAGTGGGTTGACATTGAAGCTGATCCGCACCTCGGTCATTGAGATGTTAGAGACCTTGTCTGACGACGACTTTGTGAACGTAGTTTCAGTGAGTATCTGGTCTTTCCTCAAAATATGCATTGTCAACAGAGCCATAAGCAAGCTATTTTTAATGCCAAATATGAGATACTTGAATGTTAAGCTGCTAAGAAACTTAGAATACATTGCAAAATACCACATTTGGCTTACTGTTTTCTTGTGAAGCATAATGAAAGTCTTTGATTTGTTGCTATCTGTACATTTGAGTGAAGTGCTAATTAGCTACAGTAGACAACGAAGGAGGTAAAGCAAAAGTAATTTAAACAAACTTCTGTGTAGCCAAATTCTCCTTCCCAATGTATTATTCTGGTCTGTGTAGCACAACTTCTATCTGATTGGCATATGCAAATTCTCTGAAATAATTGGTGGTTCCCAGGTTTTATATTGTGGTATGAGATAAAGTGATACAGAGAAGGTATAACAAGAACCCAAACAGCAGACATTTGAGTTGCTCATGTTAATTGATGCATGATGACAGAAGATGTACAGCCATCTGACCTGCCAAAGAGGGGCTCCCAAGAAGTTCTACAGGTAGCAATCTGAGGGATAGTAAAGCATTTTTTCCCATATTTAGTACTCTAATAAAGGGAGAATCCATGAAGGAACTTAAGGATGGTCGTAATTTATGTGTACAGAGACAGCATGTGTGATGTGCAGGTCAGAGGGTTATTGGGAGGGTAGGACTGTAAGGATTGACAAATGAAGGTGGTGATGTCTTTTTTGGGGCTGGCTTTTCAGTGGCTGAGACCTTAAGAATATGATCTGAAACTTTCATACCAGGTGTAATTACTACACTTCAAACTTGGTTACTAGACATAAAAGTTCTTTTTCTGTGTAACAGAGTTTTTATATAGTTCTCTAAAACAGTTTTGGGATTTTTTATTTTTTTTTGAATGGTATTTTGGTCTTTCTGATACTTGCCTAGAATTTAAAGTGCAAATTCTTGGCTTTCAGGAAAGCTGAAGGGAAAATATAATAGGGGAGGGGAAGGGTGGTATAGGCAACTCAGATTTCAGGCTGATACCTTGGATGTCATGCTCTAGCCTTGGGCAAGGCTTTTTTGTTTTGTATTAAGCTGTTGAACTGTAGAGCTTTAATTCTAAGAAACTAGGATGGGAACATTGACATATTCTTAATGACAAGAGACAGCTTGCATGGTGGGAAACTCTGGAATGATTTTGGAGACAATTTTCAACTTCTACAGATGTGTTGTAGCCAGCCTGCAGGGAGAAAGGCCTGAAATATCACTATTGGAAATCTCTTTGAACACCACTTATTGCTTTATTGTTTGCTGTCATTCTAGCTAGACCTTTCTCCAAGTAGTAGAGAGAAGCTTTTATTTGCAATGGCGTTTCCTTTGTTAAAGTTTTTAATAGTGAATTAGACCATTTTCTTTAGTCTAAATTGCATTGCGGGGAAAAAAAAACAGACAACCAAAAAAA